ACAATGTAAGAACCAGAAGAGGCAAAGTAAAATAAATTCTAAAAGTTTTAGTAAAGGGCAAAAAATCGAAAAGAATTGGACCTTAGGACGTAGGGAAACCTTGTCAGCAGCGGTCTTTCTCTTTCGACTTTGTAATGATGATCCCTTTGCATCATCATTATCATCACTTTCGCAATCGGGATTTTGCTCATCATGTTGAGGAACACGTTGGAAAACAGCAGTTGTGTAAGAACATAGTGAGTGAATGAGGTTATTACAGTCAATAAATCAAAAATTTTCTTGGGTATAGTCATTTACCAGGGGGAGGATTAGTGTTATCGACCCAACATAGAGGCCACCATCTTCTTCGAGGAAAATCGTACAAGGAACATCTCGCGTAAGTAACTCGATCTTTTACAGGGATTGCTTTATGTTCAAGGTAAAATGGGTCGAGCATTTTAACCCAAGGAGGGTGAGATAAATACTTAGCCAAACCAAAAAGAGCATTTGGAAGAGGAGGTATCCTTTTAGGACAAAATTTTTCGAAATCAGTTTTTCCTTTAGGGTTAATTACTTTTTTCGAGCGAATGTTCCTCTGTACCATTTTCGATAGAGAGACAGACGCGTCGAAGATGGTTCGACCAACGTTGTCAGGTCGATAACACACTTTAAAAAATTGCTCAAACTGATAAATAATAATTCGGTTCTTGAAAGTACCTGATTGTTTGGGACCCTGCGAAGAAAGAGGAGAGTTAATCAGCTTCTTCAAAAATGCATCAAAATCGAGAAGTTTATCCATATGATATGTACACCACCATCGAAGATAACACTTTGACACTAAGAAAGAGGGAGAGAAACGACATGGGGTGAATCTAAGTTCTTTTTTAGGTCGAAGAATAAACTCTAAAACTTCCTCATAGTTTCTCGTATCGACACAGATGCAGAAAGAGGGAGAGAAACGGCATGGGGTGAATCTAAGTTCTTTTTCAAGTCGAAGAATAAACTCTAGAACTTCCTCATAGTTTCCCGTATCGACACAGATGTCAGAGTCAATACTTTCTTTTCTCCGAAAGGGAAGAGGCTTCATCTGACACAGACCAAATTGGCGAGCAAACATTTGAGGCTGGTAGGGATAAATCCTAACTTCTTTTTGTCTCATACCAGACATGATTACGTCCCAGGATAAAAATCTAGCCCACATCTCGATAGAAGCTGGTGTGATATTCCAAACCTGGTTATTTTGTCGAAGCCAAGATGGACCTGTCAAGGTGGGTCGAATGAAAGGAGCTAAATCCTCACTAAATTCAGTGAAGCTTAGAATGGCGTCAATATATGTTGCAAAATTATCAACTAAATGTTTTCGAGGGGTCAAAGTGGTTAAACGTGCACCCTCAAGTTCACAGGTGGGAGTGAAGGTTGAAGTGAGGGATAGTTTCTTCTCGAAAATGGCATTGAGCCATAGTTGAAGTAGCCATAATGGTCCAGAAAGATTTCGAGGTCCAGTCTCTCGGAAAAGGCTTTCAGAAGCTTCATCGAGACAGGTATACAAGGAGGCCAATAAAAGTTTACTTAAACAAACTTTCTTTTTCAAATGTAAGGCTTGGGCGAGAGTAAAATAGTATTTTGGAACCTGAAGTGAAGGAGTACAAAAAACGCAAGCAGATAACCAGTACATTAAGAAGGCAATATGTTCAGAAGGCGAAACAGGGGTCCCGGGTTGTCCTACATGGGCATTGATGAAAGCTAGATACGTCTTCTTATCCCATGTGATGGAAAGTTCTTTGATCGAAATTTCTTCCTCGAAAACATCAGGGTGGAATCTATCTCCTAAAGGGGTTAAACCAGTTATTGCAGCAATATCCAATAAGGTAGGGCAAACGAACCCATAGGGAAACTCGAAGGCTCGCGTCTCCCTATTCTAGAAGAAAATCGCAGACAAGAGCATTTGTGGGTCGAACAGATGTAAGTCAAATTTTGCAAGCTGAATGAACTCAAATATACCAGTTTCGACCCATGAAGAACTCATTTCATTTTCTACACGAAGTAACCATTCCAAATGCCTATTTTTGACGGGGGGAAAGGCCCTAAAAATCTTGGTAGTGTCTCTAAGCAAAGAAAGATCTATCTCTGGTGAATGAATAAAGGGTAGAGTGGACGAATCCTCAGGTAACAAAGTATTGCCAAATTTCTTCTTATTTTGACCAATAAACGGTCCTAGAAAAGCATGCATATTACCATTCTCAAGGGAGAAGGGAAGAAGTACCTGAGAATTATAAATCTTGAGGCTGGCCTCCTCCATGCTAGGAATGGGTACAAAGGTCTCATTGCTCTTAGGGATAGTGCAAACTTGCGCATTACTCATCAACAAAGGAATGGACTGACTGGAGGTTGCAGTCGCCATTACAGCATGGGATGTTGCAACGACCAATGTAGGAGATGATGTAGAAACCACAGTAGGAAACGAAGCAGAAGCCATAGTTGGAGATGAGGCAGAAGCGGCAGTAGGAGACACTGTGGAAGCTATGGCAGCAGAGGTAGACGCAACAGAGGAGGCCATGATAGTGGAAATATTGATGAAGGCAAAGAGCTTAGAATGAAGGAATGAAGGTTGCCGGAGAAGGAAGAAGCCAAGAAACGCAGTAGCAGAAAGCAATAAGACTTGAGCGCCAAGAAGAAAAGTAGTGAATGTGGTTTTACCCTAGGGTAAAAAAGGAGTTTTAATGGGCTTGAGATGAAACGGGCCTGTAACTCAAGTTAAAATTCAAATCAAATAATAAAAATGGCCGCCAGAATATTTTGATAACAGTGAAACAACGAAAACACGCGCCGTTATTGCCATCAAGGTCGCATCAAACGGTCATGTGCATTAAATGCAAATCAGGGTACAGGTCAGAATAGGTTTTCATCAAAAGGTTGTCAATTGACATCAAATAGTTGGAAGAGCATTGAAGAGATCCCTTGATAGGAATTCAGTTCTTCTCTCACCCAGCATGTTCATCGAAATTGAATTCCTAGGGGGGCATTTGTTAGAGCTACTCGAAACCCAGAATTCGAAAGCTACTTGAAAGCTATATCTATGAAACTACTCGAAAGGGAGAGAAAGGTCGAACACTTACCAGGATCGTATCAGCAGCCCTATTTGTTCACGTGCGAGATGGGTCAAAAAATATTAGTCGAATCGAACAGAGAACTGCTCGAAAATAAATGAAGAAGGTTACTGGAGGTTTCTTAAAGTAGTTTGAGTAGTTATCTTAAAGCAGTTAATAAAACATGGATCAAAGAGGTAAAAAACACGTGGGGCAGACGGTTACGAGAGATTTTATTTTAACCCACGTAATGGGCTCAGTGGACAACAATTATGTGCCCATAATACGTGTACACAGAAATAACTGCTCTGGAGGATTTCTATAAGTATGAAAGGCACACTTTTTTACGAAGGTCGGAAAAACTCATACTTGAACTGAACTCTCAAGCACTCTCTGCCTGCACACATGGCTTCCATGCGAGGAATTATCTTTGGGTATGATCACTTCTCGGCCACATTTCTTTTCTTGTTCTAGGAGTAGTTGTAGTGTAGGTTTCTTCCTTTATTTCTCCTAATCACATAGTTGTAGTGCGTTAATTGTAACTCTTGGACAGTATGTAATTTGAACCATGATTTGTATTGCGAATATATCCATTGTTCATTCTGTTCATTTTAGCATTTACGTGCATGCAAATTATTACTTGTTAATTATCGAGGAACATCTAGAAACAAGTAATCACTAATCTTCTACTCCTCCTTCTCTCGTCCTGTAATATTCAAATCATAATATACCTAAATTGAAATATTTGTCATGCTAGTCCGAATATAAAGAATCATTAAACAAATTCCACCGTAAACACCCTTTGACCGCATTCAGTCCACGTGCTAATGCCATACTGGACTATGCAATCGACAAATTCATTAATAGCATGTGTTTGTGAAAAATTTACCTTGCTTTTAATATGATGGGACAAATCATTTGGAAATAATTCAACACACAATACTATATTAACTCTTTTCTTTCCTATTAAAAGCAAATTAGGTTGAATGTAACTTTTTCAAAAGTAATTTCTACATTTAGTATATTAAAATGTATGAAACTCTATTAAATTTTTTTAAAATTTAATAATAAAATTTTTCACGTTGTAAAAAAAAATAATAAGAAAGTTGAATGTTATGAATTTGTCTTTTGTACAAATTAGGTTGGTAACCCATGTCAAGTACGGGATAGTTTTTTTAATTAATTCATAACATATTAATATATTTTACCCCAACTTCCGTTGGTCTAGTTATATTCATCATGTCACATTGCTACTTTAAGCTCATAGGAACCTTGTATTTTAATTTGTATAATAAAAGCATAAAAAATGTAGATATAAAAATTGTAAAAAAAATTATAAATATTAAGAACATATAGAAACTGAAAATATATCTAAATTTTGTACATACAGTCGGATTGAGTTAAGTTCAGCAAGAGACGATTAAAGTCAATAATGGACCATCAATTAGATTTATACAAATTTAACTTAACTTTAAACTTATTTTTTGTTAGATAATAGTGGTTGGGCTGGTATGTTGAAGTGGTGACCCCAAACACCAAAACAATTTTGGAAGTGTTCATACTGTGCTGTTTGGTAGAGGATTCTGTTTTCGGTCGTGTAGTCAGGCCTTCCAAGTCCATCCCCATATGTTCATAGCTATTTCCTTAAAAGCTTTTGGAAGTGTACAATTCAAAACTCCTTCTCGGTTCATCTTCTTCCACTCCACAACGATCATTTTTCTCAAACATAAATGATCATGTTATTCCAGTTCCAAACAAAGATTCCACTGAATTTGTTATTCCTACATTTATCCAAGGCAAATGGATAATTACATTTTTGGTATAGGAAGCCATGATAAGTCATTTTATCCGAAGCTTTTGATCCCAGACAAAAATAGCCTTTGGCAGCATAATGGAATTAACTCGATCACCTTTTTTTGTTGTTTACAACATGAATGTACACATTTTCATTGGTTATAAAATTCCACAGAAATTCACCAAACATAAAAATAGAATGAAATAAAACAAAATAGATTTAATTTCTAATTGAATCAAACTTAGAACAGGATTTGATAATTCTATTCTGGTTCTGATTCCATAAAAATAAATCATTAATTGTACCAGACTTACCCAAACAAGAAAATAGACAATCTCAATAGAAAATCAACCTCAAGAGGCAATTCTTGAAGAAAACGAAGAAATTTTTCTAGACTACCATATTACAACATACACTGTACAATTGTAGAATTGACAATCTACAAACTTTCGGTTCCTTCATTATTCATTTAAGTGGGTCGGTACAAAATCAGTTTTCATTCTTTGCCATCAAAACCTTGCCTTCTATGCACGTTGCCATAGAATCTCGTAAAGCAAAATGTTATTTGCTTTGTTTGCATCCGCAAGTGCAAGTCTCAAGTTCTTTGTGAAGCTTCTGAAATAGGCGAAAAATATTGTAGTCAAGATCAACATATGTAAAATAAAAACTAACCGAAATACATAAATAAATAAAAATTAACCGACGCTTCAATCTATTCTCTGTAATTTTATGCTTGAAGATATGTAAAATTCATTACAAACATGTAACAAACAGACTAAATAAATCAGGAATCAACCCTAGGAGAACATCTATATTGTCCGTACAAGTTTAAATGATTCAATATGACTTTTCACATCCAGTTCTTTCTTATTTTTTTAAGTTAAAATATTTTTTTAATTCATATAATTTTATTTACTTTACCTTTTAATTTTTATAATTTAAAATAAATTTTTTTAGTCTATAAACTTATCTTTTTCAATTTTTTATACCCTATAATTTACGATAGATCTTTTTAATCAGACTTGCAATTTCTTAATCTTTTTTATTCTTTGTTGTTATTTTTTGTTTCAACAATGACCATTACACATGAAGGTAAAAATAAATTGTTGAATTAATACATCTTTCACATCGAAAGACAAAATTACAAAAAAAATTAACAACAAAAATTAAAAAGATTAAAAAAATTATAAGTATTGAGACTAAAAAAATCTAACTTAAACTATATAGACTAAAAAGAATTGAAAAAGATAACTATAAAAATTAAAAAGATCTATTTTAAACTATAATCACCAAAAGGTAAGTAATTAAAATTAATAGAGACTAAAAAAATATTTTATCTTTTCTTTTTTAAGAATTATAGTTCCTCACGGAAGTCATAGAGATCATCATATTCATATACGAATTGTTTGTATGAATATAATTCATCATAAAGGATAATGCTACTCGTACATAAATTTTATAAAACAAATTTTACAATTTAAGAAAAAGAAAAAAAAGAAAAAAAAAGTATTACATAAGATAAATATTCATAAAAAAGAGTGTAAGATAAGATGAATAATGTACTAGAAAAAAAAAAAAAGAAGCAAAAATTGCTACTATGTTGTAAAGAGTTTTGTAAAAACTTGGGATGGATAGAGATGAATAAAAAAAAAAAGTTATAAAAAGTGTAGCAAAAACCTGTTGTAAATGTATCACTCCTCAAGTAAATTTTACATTTTGGGTGTTAAAAATAAACAGAACGAAATTGATCGTGAACTGGATTATAAAATCTGAGCTATTTTCATAAATATAAAAAAATAGTATTGAACTATTTGAAAATCAAACTAATCTAAATTGAATTATTTCTATAAAGAGATAAAAGTTCTCCTACTTTTAATTTTTTTAAGCTTAATTGCATTTTTATCCTTATAATATTATAATTGTGTGATTTTGATTTTAAAGTTTTAATTAAGTAATTTTAGTCCCTTAAGTAATGTAATTATGCAATTTTTGTTCCTAAATTTTAATTAAATAATTTTAATCTTCAAATATTGTAATCGTATATTTTAGTCTTCTAAGTATTACAATTATAATTTTTTTATCTATTTAAATTACATATACTATAATTTTTCATTCATGTATTAAATGATATACATTTATTATCATTAAAATTATTAATATATGTAACTTAAATAAGTAAAAATCTATATAAGTGCAATACTTGAGAGATTAAAATCACATAATTGCAATATTTAAGAAACTAAAATTTCTCAATTAAGAATTGAAGGACTGAAATTGCCTAAAATTCCACAATTATGATACTTACAAGACTAAAATTATTCAACTAAAATTTGAGGGACTTAAATCATACAATTATTATACTTGAGGAATCAAAAATACATTTAAGCCTTTTTATTATGTTTGTCATTAAAAAAGAATATAATTGTTTTAGTTTAATTCAAAATCCAGTTGTTCAAATTTGAGAAAACAGTTTGCTGAACTAATAAAAATAAGTCATTTCAGTTTATTTCATCAAAACTGTTTTTCAATGCAGTTCATTCGGATGAACAGTTTTTTCAAACATTTTTAAACACCCCTTATAGTACCTAATGTGCGACAAAAAGATGATTATGTGAGGGGATACATAGTAAAATTAGCTATCGTACACACTTAACATTATATTTTAAAGGTTAAATTACTTAGTTCATTACAAAACTATTTTAAAGTAGTTTGCATACGCTAGTTCCTACCACTAGCCATTAAGTTACAAAATAATGTTAAACAGTTGTTTGTGCGGTTTGCTTTTTAAACACCTGTCTTGAAAATAATTTTCAAAACTCAGATTTATTTGGATGAGTAATATAAAATTGTTTTAGGAAACCAAAAAAGTGGGAAAAATAAGCCTCCAGTTGTTGAAGTTTCGCAAAATTATCCGAAGGATGGGAAGTGATTGTCTGAATCCTAGTGGAGCTATTGTGTGACGGTGGCTTAGAAGAAGGGAGAAGAGTTGAGGGATTCAGACTAGAGCTGTGGCGATGGAAAATTATGAATCCTGACAACTCATAGAATATCCGTTGAGCAAGCAAGGCCTGGGAGAATGGAGAATAGTTGTTGTGGGATTGAGAGAAGCATTGGCTCTAAAAATGGTAGAAGACAGTGAATAAAGTTGTGTTGTTGTCTTCTTGACCCTGTTGTTGCTTTCCAGTACAATCTGAAACTTACTTTGTTTAAATATGTTTATGTTATAGAAGGAAGTGGTGAGGTGCGAGTTTGTGGTGATTGCTTGTCGTGAGATATTTTTCATTTTAAGACTAAACACTTACAATTTTGCTTTTGGTTATTTTCTTAAAGGTCTCTCAACAATTAGAGTAGAATATGTGTGTTATATAAACCGTTATTGGACTTATTTCTTCTCTTGATGTGGAACCTTATTTGTATGTTGAGATGACGGGTAGCGGTGGGAACTAGCATACGCAAAGCTCAAGGGAAGACAGCCCAGCAAGTTATTTTGAAGACTTAAGTTTTAGGGATGCTAAAATATTCTTAAGCTTGATACTGCACTAATTTTTTCATCAGCAGCATGCGAGGAATTTGCAGGTTCTATAACCATGAACAGTTATTGGATTATACAAGGAGATTAATTGGTGGAGACATCTGAAATTGAAATTCGTAGCATCCTGCATACAGGAAGAAATTGAGGACAATGGGTCGTGTACGACGTATGACTCTAAGATTGATTTACATGCGAAATTGAATGTACTAAACAAGAAATTTATATATTTACAGAGGGTGAGATGAAGAAATTATTATGATGAATGGGTAAGGTAGTTATACAGACCTGAACTTGAGTTTGAAGACCTTTGATATGTTGAACGGCCAAATCCAGCATGTCTGCATAGCTTGTTTGCTAGAAAGAAAGAAAGAGATTTTGGAACAAGATTTAGACATTGGGCGAGTAGAGAGGATGTATTAAGGAAATAGCAATGATATACCTTATCCATGTTAGGTACAAGGTCCTGTAATTTCTTGAGCTTGCCACTTATTCTTGTTCTTCTCTCCTGCATAGATAAATGTTAAATATATATAGGTATAGGTAGTAGCTAGCGTGGTGAATGTAAGAGTAACAAGTGAAAAGTAACAAACCCGCTCTGCAATGCTACGCGGATGAGTAGCGCAACCTCGCTTAGCACGGATTTTACAAGGGACGGAATCTTCGGGAATACGCAACATATTCTCGACGGTTGCCATTTCGAGGCTCGTTTGGGGCAGACTAAACTGAAGAAAGTGTGGAGTTAAATTAGGAAAGAGGTTTTGGATAATGGATAGGAATAGGATAGATGAATGATGAATGATGAATGATGAATGATGAATGATGAATGATGAATGATGAATGATGAATGATGAATGATGAATGATGAATGATGAATGATGAATGATGAATGATGAATGATGAATGATGAATGATGAATGATGAATGATGAATGATGAATGATGATAGTAGCTAGTAGCTACGAGTACCTGAGATTCCAAGGCGTTGAGGCAATGCAGAATGTCGGGATCGTTGGTGGTTTTGGAGCGCTTAGTTGGGGGAGCGGAAAAGGCGATGGAATTGTCCCACGCCTCCATTCCAATTCCGAAGCTGGTGGTCGCACTATTTTCCGAGTCCTGGCAGTGAGGCGTGAAGCTCAATTGGGAAGGGCGCGTGATGGTGAAGCCGCTGTGGATGTGGTTGGGGGTGGTGGTGGCGGTGGCGGTGGCGGCCAGATGGGAGAGGAAGCCGGCGGGGGAGCTTTTCTGGCGGAGCAAGGCGGATCCGGATCCGTAAGAGTGGGCGTGGGCGTCGTAGGACCTCTGCTCCTTGCAGGTTGACTCGGAAGAGTCTCCGGAATAGTAGGGGCGCGATCCTCCTCCTCCTCCTATGACGGCCTCGACCGTGCTGGTGAGCAGAGAGCCCGGCGCCGAGCCGTAGCGGGTGAGCCCCTGGCTCATGGATTGGGCAGAAGAAGAGGAAGAGGAGGAAGAGGAGGAGGGGTACATGGCTGGCTACCAATGGGAAGGAACCAAGACACTTACAAAAAATAGCCAATTTGCCAATGCCAATGCCAATGCCACTTGTGGAATAATTTAAGGCTGCGCACTGCATTTGCATTTGCATTTGCATTTGCCTCACGTGCCACTTTATCGCAAACGTGACCCCATTCATCGAATCAATAAGTCGCCCCCCGTTTCCTCAAAACTACTCAACAAGATTCTCCCCTCATCCACTCTTGCTAGCGTCTTTGTATGCTTGATGTTGGACGGAATCCACTATTATTTTCCCATCCTATTCAACGGAAAACTAAATATTCACTTTAAATAAATTCAAACTCTCTTTATTATTACTACAAAATACTAATAACTAATTTTAATTTATGTTTAAACAAAAAATATATACAAAAAGTAAATGCTATTTTTAATATCATCTATTTTATACTCAAAATTAAAATTAGACAAGTTGATTCAAAGTAGATGTTATTGTATTACATAAAAATATACTTCTCCCATCTATGTCAAATAATGCCAAGCAATACGCGGTTGAGATGCATCATGATGTCACTCACGGGGTACATGTTTCTCTCATCTCCAAGCGTCACGCTCCGTTCTAATTTTCTTGGACTCGCTACATGTTTCTCTCATCTTTCATGCTTTCGTCTCTCCGCCAATCAAATGTGCATTAGGTCACATGTTCCATTTTTTTATTAGTATGACATAGGATTGAGATAAATTTAAATATATATCTTAACTAACTTTAATAGTATTCAATTAGGAAAAAATAATATATAATATAATAACAGACATATATTATAAGTTTATTGTGTATTTTTACATGATTAAAGTGTATGAATAGTAAGTTCGGATAGTAATTAGAATTGTAATTATATATGGATGAGAAAAAATAATTATTCAAGTAGCGGTGAAGGTGAAGGAGGAAAAGCCGAAAAAGAAAATAAAATAAATACATGAATGAAAAGAAAAGCGCCACTTGTCTGAATTGAGTAATGTGTTTGGAATGGTGGATTGTAAAAGAGGAAGAGGAAGAGATTTTCAGTTATTTTGGATAAGGGGATATGAGAAAGGTGAGATGTATGAGCTTGGTGGTTGGAGGTTTGAACACGGCGGTGGTGGTGACGGGTGGGCTCCTGATCTACCCAAGTAAAAGGCTGTGCGATGGGCGTTTCTTCCCCCCAATCCTGCTGGTGTCCCTGGCCGCATTGCTTAGGCTTATCGTCATGTTTCAAACGGCCTTGGCCCAACAAGCCGCCGCCACCCTCATTCTTGAGGACACCGCCGATCTCCTCCTACGCCTCCGCAGAAGGGTGAATTATCAATTATCACATAATACTTTGATTATTCAATTCTATTTAATTAACATATCTTTCTTCATTAGTTTAGGCCATGTATAAGAAATGGCTCTGCTGGAGTCGATCTTCCGCGCTCCTCGTTGTGCTCCAATTCCTCTTGGCCCTCTACCTTGTCATCACCTCCGCTCACCACTTCTCCACCTCCAATCATTGCCTTTTAGGTCAGTCGCTTCTCCAACCAACTCACTCTCACGTATCACCGTTTCAATCTTAACCATTGTAATGCAGAATCCAAATGGAACAGCAGGTGCTTATCTTTCTTCACCATCCTCGTCTCTTTCCTTGCCATACTCCACTGCTTTACCGGATCCGATGTCTTCAAATGGAGGTCCTTCTATCAAACCCATCATCACGCTTGGAAGTGCCACTACAGCGAGGTCTTTGATCATGGCATTCGCGAGACCTTGTGTTGTCTGGGACGGGTCAAATACTTGTACACACCTAACCTATAACCTTTTATTCCCTCACTCTATCTATTCTCCCTCTCTCTCAACCCTGATCCTTTTATGCAGGACCGCAATGGAAGAAGATGAAGTCTATTCAGTTGCGCGATTACTGGGTGAGCTTGTCGCTTATCGTGCTTCCGGAACCGGCCATATGGAACTCTTGGCAGGTTTGTTCAATTTTTCATCTCTTGTTCTTATTTCAATTATGTCACTTAACATCCATCCTCCACAACGGATTTTCTTCTTCTTCTTCTTCTTCAGCTTTAGCTTTACTTCAAAGCCAAACAAAATCCTCAGAATCATATGAACAATCCATGGAAGTACCCGTGGCACATATCAGGGAGGCTGAAGCTCTTCATAAATTTGCTGAAGCTGCATACACGGTATTGCTATAATAAAAACTTCTTCCAGATTAAGGTTTTGTTTTTACTAAATTGCCTTAAACATTTATCCTTCATTCAATGATGCAGGGTCCATTGCTTGATGTTGGACGGAATCCATTTGTATTTCTTTGCGCATGGCTGTATAGACAAGGAATTTTGTGTCCTTGGTCACGAAACAGGTGCCATTTTGTTCGATATTCAATTTTATGGCCTACTATGTAACTCAGATCAATGGCTTGAACCTTTTCATTTACGTGTTATAGGTTGAATATTAATTACACCTTTATGGTCAAGGTGGTCTTGATACTTGTTCTTCGTAACTTTAAAATCGTCTATAAACTCCAAAATGTATATTGCTTATCAAAGATTATGCTACATGGTTGGAGGGCTCCTCTCTGGTTTGATTGGTCCTTTATCTTTTTCAGTCAGTGATACTTGCCCCATTTTTGTTGCCTCTTTCTTCTCTCTGTTGATATTTCTTTCATCATAAGAAAATAAAACGTATTATTTTGTACTAGTTTAGTTTAGTAAATCAATACACAAGGTGATGCATGTAGTATGTTTGTAGTTTCAAATTCTTGTCAGCAAGCTCCCAATGTTTAAATCCATTGTGTACTCAATCTGTATATTTGAAATTTTGACATAAGATTCAAAATTGCGATTCCTGATTTTAATTCAGGAAAGGGAATCACTTCCTCTTTTGATGTCTCACGTTTTATTAGTGCATTATAAATAATGAATTTTATAAAACAAAAACACAAATTATAGTCAAAGTTGAAAGATATTAGTGGTGAATTTTCAGCAACAAAGTAAATGTAAAGAACAAATAAGAGTAAATGACTGAATTGAAAATGAAAGACTAAAAGAATAAATGAACAAAAGAAGAAATGGAAGAAGATCTACTTGCTTTTACTCAATTACCACTGTGCATATATGAGTGTTTGGCATATGCAGTGTTACAAGTGAAAATTTCTGAATACTTGTGTCAATATTTTTCTTTAGAACTCATTGGCTCTCAAGTATGCTATTTTGCTCCATTCTCTTTGTCTCTCAATCTCTCCCTTTACATTATGCCTTGTTCAATATTCAAATTCAAAAATTTTCATCTTCAACATTGTGATTTATTGTTCCTATTTCATCTTCATAGTCGACCAGTATTGGATGGTGATAACTGGTGGCGAGGTCATGCTGCAGCTTTTCTAAAGTACGTCAATTTGCCTCCAGAAGTGCTTAGACATGGGCGAGTCAGCCAGGTTAGAGAATTTAAATATTTGATTGTTCTCTGCAATGCTTTGGTCAAGGACACAGAGGCTTACCATACAAAAATGTGAAATAATAAAATTCTGCACAAAATCTCGTGAAGTTTTACAAAATCGAAGAGGGGCTTGAATATCAGTAATAATAAATAACATTGCTTAAATGATGTTGCCATCATTTATGTTTAAATTTTATTGAAGGGAGCTCATCATCAACAACAAAATAAACTCACATAAAACAAAAGGAAGATGTCACTTACCAACAATCGTATGATTCTTTTGTTTAACGTTGGGCCTTTTATTAAAAACTTAAAATCAAGGAAGGGAAGACATCATGGTGTTGAGCAAATAATGCCTTCTATTTTGTATAAAGCTCATTCCCTTTGTAAGGCTGTTTTCCTTAATAGATATTGAAGTCAATGTCCTCTTCTGTGTGTGCATGTGTGCTAAGCAGGATATTGTATTTTTTTTTAATTCATCTTTCTTCCATCTAAATATCTAGTAAATACTTTTTATGAAAAAAAGGTTGGTTCTCCAATCTCTATAAGTTTGTAAAATAAATCTGATTGAGAGTGGCTTATCAGAGCAGACTTGATCTTCTTCTGCAATCTTAATTTAAAAATGCTTGCTCATTAGGCTAGTGATATTTCATTTATAGAATTCGCTGTTTCTTTGAAAAGTAGAATTTTACTTTTTAATATAATAATTTGATAATATGAACATAACAATTGAACTGGTAATGTTAGAATAATTTATACACTTACGTAGATTTTGGCTTATTAATGACTAACTGCCGCTTTTTTTTTTCGTTTGGACTAATCAGTATTTTTATTCCAAAAGATAATAATTTAATTTTGAAATGTGAGGTAATTCAGTTCTACCCAACTGGAGATGATAACATGCTCAATTTATGCATGATGTTATGAATATTTCTGTTTTTATATTATACTGGTTGAATTTATATATAATTATTTATAATAAAAAAATTGTTTCATACCCATGCCAGGTCAAATGTGAGGCTGCATATTTTATTGTGGTTCTACATAATCTACAATCTGTAGTAATTGCTATACGTGGAACTGAAACCCCTGAGGACCTAATAACTGATGGGTTATGCAAGGAATGCACACTTTCTGCAGATGACTTGGCTGGCTTGATAAAGTATTTTTCATTCTCCCTGTTTTCATCCCTTTGACAACTTTCACAAACAGAGAGATAACTCTAGGGTGGAGCTGAAAAATTGCTATATAAAATTCACATGGTTTGTAAACCCTAAACATTGTAAATTGTAATACCCTAATACCTACAACTCATAAACACAAGCATTGACTAGCCATACAAGGATTCCCTTAGGCAATGGGGATGATAGAATCCAATAACTGTTGCTTTCAACTTTGTTATTCGACAGCAGTTTATCTTTATTAAGATAAGTTGATGACATCTATCTTTATTGGGATCTATGATAGTAAAATGATTGGCAATGTTCTGTGTTGTTGAATAGTGAATATATATGGATGCTAGGTTTATTGCAAGCCTTGAGCTATTTAGTTTGGAGTTGTGATTTAGATATTGTCAACTTATAGTTGCATAACGTAATCTTTATAGGAACTTGTAAGTGTAGAGAATGAGTGAGAAGGAGAGAAAACCACCAAGCGGGAATACAAAATTGTGTTTGAAATCATGTGCTTATTACATTTATACTAAAATCACAAATCACAAGCCTATTGACAGGACAATACTGTTGGACAATATTTGATGATAAAAAGTTTAATTTACCAACACCCTGTGCCCTCAAAATGATGGAACAAAGTGGGAAGTTTATGACTGTACCAAGATAATATTTTGAGCACCAAAAAATTAGTTTTGAGAACTTTTTGGAGTCAGTAAACTATTCTGAATCTGATTGAACAATACACAAAGGACAAACACAATTCTCAAAATGTTAAGGTGTAATATGAACTTCCAAATTTTTGGATAAATGCATATTCATTGGTTTTGTAATCGGATTGGTTTTCAAATGACTCTGAAGTTGGCCACATATATAACCGGGAAAATGAATTATGACATGTTATGCTACATGACTATCAACTAAGTTTTTAAACAAAGGCTTATAACATCTCTATTGAGTTATTCATATATGCAGAAAGCATCTCTTCTATATATCTTACTGTTTCAGTTCTAATGTGTAATTGTTTATATGGGCCAAACTGTATTGATCCTTTATATGTTCCAACACAATTTTCTGCCCCCTCACTTAAATATTTTGTTCCTGTTTGCAGTTGCAACTACATTCACTCTGATATAAAGAAAAACGTGACTTCATCATTCCCTCACTACGGGCATTCAGGCATAGTTGAGGCTGCACGAGAGCTTTTCAAGCAGATTGAAGGAAATCCTGAAAGACCTGGTGAGAAATACTTCAGTTTTTTTTTAGTCATGGTTCTTTGTTCTAGAGAGTTGATCCTGTCAAATTGTTTTTTCTTCCTGTTTCCTGCTTTCTATGACAAACACTTTGGTTACTGTGAAGTGAAATAGTCACGATCAAATGGTTATGCAATTAAGTAAAACATCCTACTTTTTACATATTGATTCCCAAAATAAAACTGAAATTCTATTTAATTTAAAAAAAATTGAACTCATTACATAAAATAAACTTCATTTTTGACAACAATTGTTTCTCGAAGTGGAAATGCAGACTCTGAATCCTATGGACTTCTTTCAAAATTACTGGGAGTTGGTTGCGAATGCTTTGGGTATAATGTCCGCATAGTTGGGCATTCGCTTGGGGGTGCTATAGCTGCACTGCTTGGACTGCAAGTATGGCATTTCTCTCTTAAGTATAATTAGTTACTAAATTTACTTATTTTGTAAGCATAATTTGCTATTTTAATTGCATCAAGAACTAGGTATTCATTGAAAGGCTATTTTGAAAAGAAAAAAAAATGTACACACAAAACAAGTATTCCTTGCTTCCTTAGAAAATGCAGATTGTAAATGCAAATATGAGGTTGGCTTGAGGTCTTAAGTGGATTGAATTGCTGCCTTTAGAAAATCTTGCTTATCCTTAAGTTCAGAATCTTTATGAGATGTTACTCAAGTACGAGAGTTGCTATCATTAAAACTAAAACCAATCCCACATTAGAGAGATTCGATTCAACAAAATATATATGCAATTATTGGAATTATATGCATCCCAATTATATAGGGTTTTTAACTTAGCCAAAAATCCAAGGTAAAACCTATAAATCCGGTAGAACTTATAAAACAATTAATCTTGTGAATATGTAAAAGAAAACATCATTTTCGTGTCCCTTTTTTTCATGCTGCATAATCTTTTAAGCATTTGATTTTATTTTTAAATAAAATTGATGAACTTTTCCACAGCTTTATAATCGCTACCCTAATCTGCATGTTTACTCATATGGGCCACTCCCATGTCTGGACTTTGTTGTGGCAAATGCATGTTCAGAATTTGTTACCAGGTAATTATACTAGTAAAAAGTTTGATAGTGGTTTATTCTCTTATGGTAACATTTTCAGTTTCCTTCATGCTTGGTTTTCGTTCTCTATGATGCAGCATTATATTTGGAAATGAGTTTTCATCTCGCCTATCAATTGGATCCATTATGCGACTAAGGGCAGCTGCAATCACATCACTATCACAAGATCCTAAAGCAGATAGTGCCATGATTTTCAGACTTGCCCATAGGTTTCTATATATAAGCAAATTTGAGAGAAATAATCCCAAGACAGAGGATGAATCTAAGTGTCATTCAGGGGTCATCCAGGAAGATCTAAACCATCAAATCCCCAGAAGCCAGTGTGAGACTGATAATAAAGGTTTCTCATCTTTAATAACATAGTTTGGAGTATACATATTGTTGCCACTATTATGAGTGTGGAAATCATGTGTATTCAGTGTTCTTCATGATTCAACAGACTTGGTTTATGGAAGGTGTTTTTTCTAAAAAGATTTCCATTATTGCAGGAGGCAGCATCAAAAACGAGCTTCAGACTATTAAAAGGGATCTTGTTATGGCTGACTATGGTGAATATTCCAATCCTTTTGCCCATGAAGATTTCCTCAACAATGAGCATGAAGAATGTTCACTCTGGCCAAACACTGGGGCAAGTGATCATATTGTTGAAATAGAAAATGACGAATTTACAAATCCTTTTGCTATATGTGTACGTCCAATTGATGATCCAGTGTCTCAGTTTATAGATACTGTTCCAAGTTCTGAAAATCCATCTGCCGATGATCCCCCTGAGATGTATCTGCCCGGTTTTGTAATTCATGTTGTACTGGAGCAGAAAAGACCTCAAACTGATCTGAAGACATCGTGGAGAATGCATGAGAAGGATAAATGTTATAGAGCTTACATAGCAAATAGAGAGAGCTTCAAGGATATTATCGTTTCACCCTCAATGTTTCTTGATCATCTTCCATGGAGGTATGGAAAATTACAATCAGATCCTTTCCTCTCTTCTAAACCTTAAATGCTTGATAGTTTCTTACAGAAGTTGCTTCTTTTGGTCAAATGTTCAACTTTCAGATGTCATGATGCCTTGCAAAAGATATTGAAGTATCAAACTGCCAAAGATCAAGTAACGGAACCTCACATCATCTGATATTTATTTGGACAATAGAACTTTGGCATTGAACGTGACATGAACTGGATTATTTTTTTGCTCCCGGTTCTTTGTCTGGTGATGCTTGTGAGTGAGATCAAGATCTATAACATGGAATTAGCCTTTTGTTTTTTGACTAGTTTGCTCTCCTATGAAGAGTATATTACCATTTAAGAAAAAGTAAATGTGCTTATTTTCTCACACATTATATAAGGTAGGTGTAGCTTATGTAATGAGATATGAGAGGTGATTGATGTAGGCTATATAATTATATTTGGATTGAGAGAATACTTGATTATTATACCAAATGAGAATAATATTAACTATTAGGTCTTACTTGAATGGTACATTAAAAGATAATTCTATAATAATTTTTAAAGGAAAATTATGCTTTTAATTTTAATAATTTGTGTATGGTTGCGTTTCTAAAATGAGATTTTTTCATCATTTGTTTACTTGTATTTTAAAAGATCTTGTTAATGAGTGGTGATTATTCTAAGCAAATGATGCTTTCATGTAAAAAAAAACGTATTAATTTTTTAATGATTTTTATATTCTATTTATTAATAAACATTTTTATTTGTTTTTGTGGAATAAATCTAATTTGTGTTTTCTTAACTAGAACAGTGAATAGAATTATAGAATATGCATATCATAAATATTCTTTATTTTCCGAGTGGTTTATATTTTTTTAACATGAGCTAAGTTTTTGTAAATTAAATGTTTCAGGCATTTAAAGAATATTATAAGGTAATAAACTTATAACAATTTGTAATCACTATCAGGGCATAAGTTATTTACCATTAATAATATCACTCTTCCAGCATAGGGTTGTTTAAAACCTCATTCCCAGCTGATAAATATGGTGGTACAAGACTAAATCTTTGTTTGTGGCTTTTTTTACTTCTCAAAAGAATAAATCTAATTACTTGATTTTTTAGAAATCTATTTAATAGTTTTATTGTTTCAAATTTAACTGAATCAAACAAGCAAAATTTGTCATTGAAAGATGCCCAAAATCAGTTGGAGCCATATATACCGTTAGTATATATCAATATCGATATCGCCTAACGGAGTATAATCACTTGATCCAAGAGGATGTAAAATTAAATGTTAATTTTTGTTGTAAAATTAAATGCTAATTTAACACTTGGTAAAACGATAATTTGTAATTTTTTTAGTGGTAGCAAGGTAATAAGTTTTCTACGTAAATTTTTAGTTATTGAAGTGGGTTTTTTCCATCCACGAAATGAAACTGTTTTCGATTCCCTTTTGTCTTTAGAAAGCAATAGTTGCTGTTGAAGTCAAGGTTTGTGTGTAATTAAATACCTGGTGTGGTTGATTATCATCGTATACCTTTATGCTTATGCTCATCTCTCCATATTCCTATTGTCAGATCAGATGCACGTCATGCTTACACACAATTCTTTTCTGATATATAATAATGCATGTGATCAAACCGTTCTGTGACTATGTATATGGCATGATTAACCTTAGTCGCATACATAATCATTCGCATACAATACAGTGCTGGATTTTACCACTTTGCAACTTGATCCAGGAGCTTTTTTAAAAGAAAATTATGTCGGACATGCGTCTTGATCAACATGCCAGAAAATTTTCCATCAATAATGCACAAACCTTCCTTCGTGCTTGTAGAAAATTGAAGAGTATAACCAGTTTCTGGTTTGAAAGTTTCATGAATGAGACAAGGTAGTACTTCTTTGTACAATCTCTTTAAATGTACCATGTATGTCCTGTATGCTGTAACTTGGATGCTACATATGGTAGCTGTAATTAAACCCGTTCAGTTTGTGCAGTACTTCCATGATCAGAAAAAGGGCGGGGGAGAAAAGCTATTATATAGTCCTATTCTCATGATTGTTCTGTAAAAAAAGGTAAAAACTTGATTCAATGAAATCAGATATAATATACATTCAAATGTATGGTGAGCCCAACTTTGGAGTGGAATTTGTCAGGTTTTGGGCTTTTGACAAAGTATGATAATTAATTTCTTTGTGGTTAGACACCAAAATGATGTCTTCTAGTTGAGGAGCAGGCAAAGATTTTAAGATGTTGCAACTTTCGAGTTGCATTATCATGATAGCAACTAGTAATAACTAGTGGCAGTGAAAGTGGTGGTTTGTAAGATACAAAACATTGTCACAAAGACAAAATCACAAGCAGAAAAGAATAAAAAATAAAACATGCAAGCATGTGGGTCCAGTAAAGTGTAAATACAAATGAATTCTTAATTATCAAATTTAGAAAATCGTGGGTAGCCACCACACAAAGCGTGACCAAGTTTGTGCTGATGAAAAGCTGCATCATCAGAGTATAGCTTTTATATATATTCCTGGCTGGCCGTGATTGATTTCATCTGTTTTGGGGGAAGCCATCATTTTCCACTTTTAAGTAGTCTCTGTACAAATATACCAAACAAATCAAAGCATATATGAAAAATGCTGATAGAGGAAAGAATACAATTGTGGAAGTTAGGTTGGAAACAGAAGTTGACAGCATGTCCAAAAGAACAATTGTCAAGTCCATTCGCTATAGGGATTGAAGATTCTAATTCAGAATAGAAACTACATTTCTGTTAGTTTGTTTTGTCACAAAGGCATTATGTTATTACATCATTTGTTATTGCATCATTCCGTTATTTGCATTCTTGTTTTTACAGATTTCTCTTGCTGTATTGAGCCTATATATAAGGCATGCAAAGTATTGGATGAAAGGAAGAAAAAGAGAAATTTCAGTTTATTTATTTTGTTTGGAGGAACCTTGGCCTCCAACTCAAGGAATTTACTGTGTTCATATCAAATGCCTTGTACCATTTGTCTTGCTCAACTCTACATAGTCAAACTTTAATTGCTATTTGAGGTACAACATTTAGTCAGAAGAAACTTCGTAGAGTAACTCAATCGAGGTTAGAGGAGGGAGCATACAAGATGGTCCATACGACACTTGGCCATGTAATGACAATTGTCTTATACGCAACACTAATTGGTATCCATCCTCCTACGCCCAAAACATGACGGAACGGAGTTATGATATGAGAGAAAAACAAGTTAAAATTTAAGCACGACATTTAAATTTTTAATTAAAATTAGAGTTTTACTGCAATAATCCATAAACAAAAGTTAGCATCAAATGTGGTGATTGATTATTGAGTTTGATTTACATCTCGGCCTATGAGGCAATTTTTATAGAAACGTGACGAAACGGAGTTGTGATATGAGAGAAAAACAAACAAACAGGTAAAGTTGATTAAAAGTGTGTCCACTTGATTGGAGAATTGAGGAACCCAATAAATGTAGCCTTGGTTGGACATTTGGTCAATCTATGGATAAGGTTGCTGCTTCCTTGCAACCTCGCGTCGGCAACTTTCTCTTTATTACTTTTTCCATTACGTACGTACTAATCTATCATGGGATTACAAACGTCATATTTTAACATGTTATTATTTAAACTTCTTTTCGTTCAATTCAGATACTTTTTATGTACAACTACGACCACAGTTGTAGATGGTTCTTAGTTGCGTCCTACGCTGTTTGGAAATTGCTGATTTTTGGTTTGCGATCCATCTGTACTCTTATTCTTTCATACAATCCTCTATTTATATCCATGGAATTCTTAGCTTGTATATAAAAATAAAAAGTAAAAAAAGTTAATTACCCGAGTATTGTGAAGAAAAATGGCTATCCATACAAGAATAATGCAATATACTATAGCAGTAAAAGTAACAAAGTAGGTTAATAAAACTATAAAAGTGATTCGATGGATCTCGAGACATGCTAGGTAATTAAAGAGACATGCATGTTAAAGTGAAATAGTTAATTTACTGTGTGTTTGAAATAACGAGAATACGACAATGTGTGGCACACAATGAAAATAGGACATATACATGTTTTGTTTTTTAAAGTGTTGATGAATGCATGGATTGGCGTCCTATTGTCTAAGCACTCACAAACAAATGATTTTTTTAATTCTAGGACAATATTTTGATTTCTCCATTCTTCACGTACGTCTTGTTTAAGTGTGGATTTGATTGAGAGGAAAGAGATAAATGAAAAATAGAGCAGAGAAAAATGAAAAGTAGAAATAGATAAGAAAATAGAGCAAAATTTTAATTGTTTGGTTAAAAAAAATAAATGAAAAATATGTAAAAAAATAAAATACATATAAAAGAGAGAAAATATAAATAAATAAGAGGGTAAGATTTATCATCTTTTAATATTTTACCCTCTTATTTTTCATGAACCAAACAATATCACTTATTTCTATCTTTCTATTTTCAATCTTTTTTTTTATCCATTTTGCTTAATCAAACAAGACATAGGTGTATATTTGATAAGAGGAGAAAGTAAAGAAAAAAGAGAAACATAGGATACTAGCGGTGTGAAGATATTGAATGGTTGGAGCGGTGGCGACTTTTCAACTAAAACACCGGAAGCTTCTCGTCTGCTATAGAGAAAGAAAGTGACTCGTCATGATTGGGTTACAATTTCAAATAAAATAACTAAATTTGACTCCACGTGGGATAAGAAAATTGGTGCATGTGGGCCCAATAATGTTCATATATCTTCAATCTTCATTTTCAAAACCCTCCACTCAATCATTTCATTAAACTATTATTATTTTCTTGTTTTTCTTTAAGTTGCATTATAAGATTGTAATGTTCAAATAACTAGCTATGTACCCGTGTCATCACAAAATTCTTCACCGTAAAGCAAGACATATTTGATGTCTACATTCATTTTATAATAAAGAAAATGAAGTGATAATGACCAAAGTAAAACTAATATTGTTGTCTAAACATATAATTGATACTTTATATGTATCATTAAATTTTAGTCATTTCTCTTAGCTGTTTTTAAAATGAAAGCTAACTAAATGGTTTTCTATTCTCGTAATCATATGACTTTTTAGGTTAGGCTTAATGGGCAGCTAGATGATAGGCTTGAAAAATTACAAATACGAACATATTTTATAATTTATTTATTGTTAACCTTTGATACAGAAAATGGAAATTGTGACTTCAAGAACAATCACATTATTTGAAAGTCACAGGAATAGATATGTGTTTAACTTTTTATAATCATGGTAGAATCTGAGAAATTACCAAGAGCCACCCGACATTTAACTTAAATTAAAATAGTAAAAAGCCTTTGCAATAAAGTGATAAAGGGTCTGATTATTGAAGTTATCTAAGTTATTATATTAAAAAAGATTGTTTCTTGGCAAATTAATAAATTCAAGTAGCAAACATAGAGCCATTCAGATGCAATGCATGAGGGTTTCTAAAGGATAAAAAGTATTTTCAATGAAAATGAC